TAATGTGTCATTTAAAAATGTTATTTTCTTATTGATTTTCTGTTTGGATGATCTGTCCATACCTGACAATGGGGTATGTAGGTCCCCTACTATGATAATGTTTTGCTCTGTTTCTCCCTTTAGTTCTGTTAGTAATTGCTTTACATATTTTGGGGCTCCTTTATTGAGAGCATAGATTGTAATAAATGTTCTTCTTGAAGGTTTCAGTTTCCTTGCTATGCTTATCTAGTTGTTTTTTCAGTTCCTGAAATTGTTGATATGACTCGTTTCAGAACTCAACGAGTTTTTTCAGAAGTACCACCCTGAATTCTCTGTCATTTAAGTTGCATATTTCTATGTCTGTAAGCTTATTTTCTGGAGATTTCCCTTTTTCTTTCTGCGACACCCTGTCACCTTGGTTGTTCATGGTGTTTAATAGACTATTTCTCCACCTGGGTATTAATGGAACTGTATTCTGCTGTTTTTCCAGAAAGAAAATTTATTATATAAAGGTTTCTCTTTAGCCTGCTGCAAAGAAAGCACTTTTCTTTTGGTTTCCAGTAGGTGACAACGAAGCCTCTTGGATCCTTGCTTTACATAAAACCTAAATAATGCCTTTTTAATTTTCTTGTAGATATTTAATCATGCTCACTACCCTCAGTTTCAGTCCCTATCAGTGTCAGCAACAGTCTTGGCAGGGTTTGCTCAGATTTCCCGGGGGCTCTGTAGTGATCAGTCTCAGAGGGCATGGGCGGAGGGGCCCTCTGGATTGGGAATTGAGTGCTATGGCTCAACCTCAGTTTTGCAACCGCAGCTGGTAAAAATCAACTGTTGTTTCTCTACAATCCTGTCCCACTTCTCTGCTTTCTGTCCTGATGACTTGGCCCTGCTGCCGGCTGCGTAAAACTCACAGTACTTCCAGGCAGGGCTGTTCAGGGAAATCGCTGCACCTTCTCCCTTCCGCCTTCTCCTGCAGGGAGTTCCAGAGGCTACAAGAGGCAGCTTCTTTATTTCTCCCAATCCACCACCCGACACCCAGGGTTCTGACCTGTGGTAGCTCTTATGTGCAGATTCCACGCTCAGATGTGCTGATGTTCAATTTGGGTGTTTTTTGTTGAGTTTTAAATGTTCAGCTTATTGTTGTTTCAAGTGGAGAGATCTGAGGATGTTTCTCACTCCACCATATTTCCCAGAATCCTCTATATTCATATTTTGATAAGACTATGAAGTAGTAAATATAATACTAAATTATTTTAAAATATATAGAAACTGACATAAAACTTACTCTTATTCTGTACCATAAATTATTTACATCTTCATTTTTTCCCATGAAGTATGTAGGAGAAGCCATCAATTCCTGAAGAGTGTTTTGAAGGGAGGGAGCACGAAAATTATGTGTTAGATGGTCTCAAATTCAATGCTACCATTAACTAAGCAATATTGTTATAGGAAAATAATTAGAAGATTTTTGACTGATGGCTTTAAACATGTTATATGTTATTATTAATGATTTGTCATTAAAATATGTAAAATTTAATTTCTCACCACTATTTTTTGGTATGAAGCAAAAAAGCTAGTAATTTTTCTTTCCAAATTAATATGCCTTTGCAAAAGTAACTCATTTATATTTTTCAAAAATTAAAAAATATAGTGGAAAATCTTCCACCTCATCTACCATCTGCCCTACCATCACCAAACAATGATTTCAGTTTTAGAAATTTATCTACAAGATACATTCCTAAAAGTAAAAGTTCTCTATCAAAGTTTACATGTGTTTTATAGATATTGCCAAATTATCTTCTGCAAGGGGCACACTAGTGTGTACAACCCATTGAACATGTATTGAAGTCTGTATTTTCACCAACCTTGGAAGCATAGTGTGTTTTCAAACTTGGATTTTTGTCAGTGCAATAAATGAAGTTTTCAGACCTCTCATTATGGACAAGGCTTAGCTTCTGTTTGTATGTTTAAAATCCATTTGTGTTCTTTGTGTGTGTGTGTGTGAACTGTCCTTAACTTTTGTCAAATTTTCTTTTGGGTTGTTGATCTTTTTCTTATTAATTGGCAGAAGCTCTCTTATGTGTTAGGAAATTTAGTCCCTTATCTGAGAAGTGAGTCACAAATTTTTTTTTCACAATTTGTTATTTGTCCTTTGACTTTGCTTTTAGTTTTCTTTGCCATGCAGAAGTTTCTGATGCTTATGTAGTCCAATTTACTAACATTTTTGTATGTTAATTAAAGGTGTTTAACAAGAATATAAAGTTATATTTTTAAGTCGTTCACTACTCTGGACATGTATTGCTTCTTATATTAAAAAAGAGAAGTTAATTTCAATTTGGAAAATGTTTGTCTTCCATTCAACAGCTGTTTATCGAAAGTCTATCATGTGTACAAACCCAGTTATCCAGAAATTAAAATTCAGTGAGGAAGGTCAATGTAAATAACAACTTAAACAGTGTACGGTAAATGCTATTGTGGGAGAATCCCAAGGTCTGTGAGGTTATACCGAATGCAGATGTCATAACTAATCTGAAAACTACTTGTGCCCCACAATCTCTTTATATGGTATCATTTAATAATTCCAGATATCAGCCAAATCTCACCAAATGCACTGTTTTCTGTCAAGGATTGTTCTGTTTCTAAAACCAGGAAGCAATGGGTAGATTGAATGAGCCAACTATCTTAGTTAAAAGTTACACATATTACAGATTTCTGTAGTTATATATAAAGCCTATATGAAACACAAAATATTTTGTGATCATATATAAATGAGTCCATAGTTTGATTTAAGAGATTCTAAGACAATATGATGGCTATTATCTCCAGTAGCCTCTGAATCTAGAGGCTCTTACATGTTGTAAGTTGAAGCTGTAAAATTATTTTTAAATGTACTGTGAATACGAAATGATCCAATAAAAGTAAACTATTTACCTCCTTAAAAATGTTGAGAAAGATAAATTAAGGGTATTATTAGGTTATATATTATATACATGGAATTACATTTGTGATATCAACTATCTCACACACGCACACATTCACACACTTACATATATACACACATATATAAATATAGTTCAGCACCATAGATGTCTATTTATGGGTCAGAATTTATGAAATGCAAATAGGCATTTGTCTAGTACTTTGTTTACTTAGCTTTATAGCAGGATACAAGTCAGAGAAAGCAGTATAGAACCATGATTCATTATTCCTGGGCAAACATTCCATGCTACTCACACACATTGCTTCTTTTGACTCCTCACCCTCACAGGGAAAGTCTGCCAGGAATGAAAACCAAGGTTTGTTCAGGTCATCATATAGAAGGCACAACCTCTATTTCCCTTCCACATTTTACATCATTTTAATCATATAGACGAAAGGTCTATATTCTACCTCACAGATCCCCATCTAGATATAGATTCATACAACAAACAAGGCAGCCCAACATATCCTTTCATCTTAAAGTTAATGTTGAAAGGAAAAATCACTGTGAGAGCCTAGGGTCAGGCCCACACTACATTGGCACAGGCTGGATGTTAACCCATTGCTCATGCATCCACATGCATTTTTGCAATACATATAATTGTATTTACAGTATATTTCAAAATGCATATTGTTTACATGTAATAAGAGTTTATGTAAAATTCCTTCCCCTATAAAGTAATTGACTGGTTACTTTGTCCATTAATGGATATCCTTTTTACCCCAACTGTTGAGTCCAATTAAAAAATATAATGTTCAATATATTAGTTCTTCTAAAAGTATCTAAAGCAATTGTTCCAAAGTGTGGGGCACTGTTTAGATAATGCACTAATATATTGGTATGTTTATTTAGTTTTCCTTAAAAATAGTCTCTATTATTATTCGTAGTAACATGATAATATTATATAACATATATATAATGTTTGTGTTCATATTACAATGTAATGTTATGTTTATATCATTAGAATAGTATTATTAACATCATCATAAAGACTTGCCATTGCAGGTTCACATTCTTTATTTCTGTGTACCTGTTTTAGTCTTTGATAGTCTGAAGAAAAAGAGTTTACTCTTATTGTCTTTCTACTTATACTCAAGCCAAAGCGATAATCATTAACATTTAATGACTTTATTGTCATATACTACTATGGATAGCATTGCTCTAAGCTATTTACATGTATTACTTTATTTAATCCTCACAGTGACCCTATGAAGCAGGTACTATCATTGCCCTCATTCTATAGAGAAGGCACTGAGAATTAAAGAACTTGAGTAAATAAAGTACCAGGCAAGTGCTAGAACCAGGATTTAAAAAAAAGCAACCTAATTCTAGACCCCCCACAATGTTGAACAGTTATTTTATATTCTCAACCACAGTGTCATCATCCGTTTGAAAAATTGGGATCATGATAGTATGTATATCATAGTGTTGTTAGGTAGATTAAAGAAAGCAATAAATGTGAAATGTCCAAACATGATGCTTGGCACATTGTAAGCCCTTAATAAAAATAACCTGTAATCATTCTCTTATATTTCACTCTAATCCAAATATTGTTTTGTACTTTTTCTTCCAATCTTCTGATTCAGTTTTATTTGGTTATACTAAGGCCCATAAACTATAGCTCACAAAAATGCTTACCCCACCAGGTTTCTTGGTACATGAAAGAATTTACTCATATAATTTTTCTTAACATAAAAGAATGTTAGAAGTAATGTTTAATAAGTGAGTTTAAGTAAAGAATAAGTGAAATTAAGTAAAGAATACACTTCTTTTATTGGTTGGAGTTGAGTTTCATTTGGGTGTGTGTTTTGAATTTCCAAGGCTTATTGTCTTTAAAACATAGAATTTGAGGAAAGACTATTAATCGATAATTTGTAATACATAAATTAAATCTTAACATGTAACACATATGAGTAATCACTATCATGCTGTTAAAATACCAAATACAGTAAATTTCCATAATGTTTTATAACAAATAACTTTTGAAAATATTTCTTTTTCCATTTTTATTTAAACTATGAGAATATTTTTTTCCTTGCAGGTTTCTAGATATTTACCTGAGAAACAAAGAGAAATTGAGGCTCACGTAAAAGACCTTGGACAGCTTGAAGATCAATTAAATCATCTGCTTCTGTGGCTGTCTCCTATTAGGAATCAGTTGGAAGTTTACAATCAACCAAATCAAACAGGACCATTTGATATTAAGGTAGGGACTTTTTGCTTTAAATATTATTTTCCAAAAGAATGGAAATATCACTGAACTAAGTTTCTAATTTGTTATCATCATTATTATTGTTGTTATAATGTTGGTGGTGGTTGTTGTTGTTATTTGACTAGCATTTTCTGTTCTTCCAGCATTTACTAGCAATAATGTAGTTATTAAACTCATATCACTAGAATGCCTTCATCATATTTGCTACTACAATCCATTTTCCATTCCTACTTTAATTGTACTTATATATTTGTAGACTCCTTATCTAAAACTGAAGTTATTTAGGAGATTAGGTACCCGCAAAATAAAGGCTCTTCAGTAGATGTTTATAAAACTCTCTCAGACTAACTCCAGTTTATCTTCCTCACCTCCTATTCTGACAACAACCTCTCCTTAATATTCTAGCCATAACAAATTTTATGTTATCTTTGTATACATGTGGTTTTATATCATGACTCTGTTCTTGATCTCTTTCTTTAAATGACTTCTTTTTCCTTTTGTCTCATGATGAGTTTTCCTCTATCCTTCAAAACTGAATTCAGTGTGATTGCTTCTTCAAACATTTCTTCCATACCCCAAGTAGAGTTAAAAAACCCTCCCTTTTAGGCCTTCTTATAAACCTCTGTATTCATCTCCTATGGCCTTGGTGTAATTTACACTTAAAATTTACAGACCTGAGTACCTCAGCACACTATTCTTTGAATGCAAAGAGCATCTTCTTAATTATCTTCCTTATCCCACTTATTTCTAAATACCTCCATCTTAGGGCTCAGTATATGGTGGGTGCTTGTTAGTATTTTTCAGTCAATGAATAAAGACGGTAAAAAGGCACCGAAAATGCTAATGAGATGCTGCAGATAAGCCTAGAGCTCCAGACAAACATGCTAATAGGACACCACCATCTCCTTTTTTTAGTGTCCCTGTACACATCTATTATTCCTATCTTCTCTCCCTTCCCAGGATCATATTCTAAGGACTTGTCCCAACACAATACCCTGTTTTGCATCTCCTATGGGCCAACAACATTCAATAGCCAATCATATAAACCAATTCAATTGAAAGCACAACCTATTAATTAATGTAATGATGGGCAATTTCATACTAAACAAGTAACATCTTTAAGTAAACTTTATCTTTGAATTCATTGAACAAAATATTCAATTTATTTACCTTCCAGGATTAAAACGACCTATTTTTATTTAGTTGCTGTTTTGCTAGGAAACAAGTCAAGGACGTAAGGAAGTGTGAGGATTTTCTAGAGAAGAAAAGTGAAACTTGAGGAAAGATGGGCTTGAATGAGGATAAGGAGAGAAAGATAGAGAGGGAATGCTTTGATATAACTAAAATGAGTTATGTTTGCAAAGTGCACTCCACTACTTTTACCCTACCTCTTCCTCATGTTTATATCTACCATTCTGGTACCTACCCCCAAGAGCACATGACAGTATGTAAGTCACAGCTATATATCATTTCGTCAGTGCAAAACTCAGGCTGCTCAACAAGTAGGATGGTCTTGGGTTCAGTCTGATGATTTAATTTGCTGATTAAATTCAGCAAATTAAATTAGCTTTAAGAAAATATTCAGGGCAGGTAACAACACAACCTGCACAGTGATGGCACACTGGAGGTCTTAACACCAAGACGTGGCTTATGATGCACTAGTCACCATGCATTTAGGTTATGTGCAGTCACAAAGATAAAACTAGGTGAGTGCAAAGCCACACATCCTTGTTTTGGGAAGCCATCAGTTCTGGGATCCATTTAGTTTTTCCGCCTATCTATTACATAGTATCCTCAGAGGTATTTAATAAGCACACTTTCTCCAGTGCAACTGTATCTCATCAATACTGATTTTTCATTAGTCGATAGATAATTTCAACAAAGAAGTAATATTACTTGGTCCAATAAACAATAACCTCAGCCAGATTCTCAATTATTTTGGATCTGATATATTCTTAAATATTCTTGATTTGGTATTGCAAAGAGAAGAGGCCATAAATTCTTTGTTCTCAACCAGAAATAGCATTTTGGAACTCACAGATAAAAGCACAATTTCTTTACTTTTAAACATAATCTTCAGTTAAAATGTGCTTCTTCATTAAAATGATAAAAAAAAAAAAAGATATACACGATATTAGCTATCTCTGTGCATGGAATATATTTAAGAGAAACAATAAAGTCCACTGATACAAATAAATGTTGTTGACTCAACCAAAGTGACTTTAGTCCCAGTCTGTGCCCCTAGAATGATTCTCAAATACTGAAAACTTTCATTGGGCTTTTGTCCATGGCCCATAGGTTCCTGCCAAATGGGTTCCTGCCGTTTGGAATGAAAGCCACTCTCAGTTGTGTTAATCACTTTCCTTTTTCAAAGCTACAAGTCACCACTCTCAATGCTGTGTGTAGTTTCAGAAAATCATGATATTTGCCTCCTGCAGCTTGGTTTAACTCACTGAGGGGAGAGGCAGCTGCCTTTTTTCTGGCAGTAAAACTCCTTGGCTTCAGTCCTCTATGCATATTCTGAGTTTATCATCTCTGGAGTGCAGGTTTCAATTATATTCCTTTAGCTTTTTTCTTCTGCTTATGGCTGTATCCAAAGCAAAAATAAAAATAAAAATAAATAACCATAAAATCACATAAGATGACTTCAGAGATTTCCCCCATAATTCTTAGACCCCTAGCTTATAATCAGAAAATAGTGACCTGTGTGAATAATTGACTAACTTACCTAGTTCTTTATCCTTCTGTGTCTAGCTTCTATCTATAGTCATTGTCTAATAAATGATTGATTCATAGTGCACAGTTCTTCTAAGATATGTGATTTTAGTCTATACAGTCTGCTATAGCCTTCTGCTTAAAGAGATTCAATGTTTTTCAGTTAAAAGATGGGAAAATGGACCTCGCTTTACTTTAAACCACTGAAAACCAAAAAAAAAAAAGGAAAAACTTTTTAAGCAATTTTGAGGACATGACCATTTTTAACGCACAGAAACACCTTTTAAAAATCTGAGAAATGAGTTAATGAAAAGAAAGTCGATATACAAGCTGCCTCCATTTCCTAAATTTAAACATATGGTTTTTTGATCTGGCCATTGTGGCCATAGCTACCCCCGAAACAAAGGACCTAAGGTCTTGCCATCCAGATCATTTGTTTTCCCTAGTCAAACTGTGAGCACCTGTTAGAAAAATATGTAATACCCACTGTGAGCCTCAGTTTTGTCTGCTTGGCACTTCGTGATTATTGATGAAATGCAGCTAGCTGTGTAATGAAACCCAAGTTAAAAAAAAAAGCCTTAAGGCTGTGTTCTAATACATTGTTTATGTTGGAGTGAAAATTGACTGCACATCGCTTGGTATGTGCAATTTACTCCCAAAATATTCCTATTCAGGAACTCCTGCAAATAGCAATATTCATCTTGAAAATCACCTCGCAAAACCCTTAGCAAGCTGAGAAACATAATCAATGAGATCGTGATATAGCGGGTGAAAATTAGGCGTAATCACAGCCCTTTCCCATCAGTCAGCCCACCAGAAGGCATGCCTTTGAATTTTGGTTTTCAAATGTACTCTCTCAATTTAGACATAAAATATGTTGATTTCAGATTTCAGAAATGATAATTGAATGCTAAGACCCAGGGACCAGTTAAAATTTCTATAAAAGGTCTTATGTTTTTAATCTTTAATTAATGTTTTCAGTAATGAGCTGCAGGTATACTATTTATCTGACATAAAACTGCCTGGCTACTGCTATCCAAAGTTTTTATTAAAATACAGATAAGGGAAAAACACATAATTTTATGTTAAGTTTTACTGACTGAAATACTTTCATATTGATGAGAGGCAGGATTTTTTTTTCCTCTCCTCAAAAATGACTTTCCTTCTGTGTTCTATAAATAAACACAACATAGTACTCTACTGGCTCTTCCTTACCATGTAAGAAACTTAATTCCCCATAATGTCAAATCCACACTGAAAACTACCAAAGGATACAGTTATAGTGACTGAATGATAAAGTATCTGAACATGAAAATCCTTGTCTGCTTGTGTTCACGTTGCTGCGAGGATTGTCAAAGAAAAATTGCACTGGACAACTTAATAGACAAGGCAAGGAAGACTTTATTCAAGACTATTGCAATGGGTGAGAGATATTGAACTCATATCCGTGAAACAAAAGGCAGAAAGGATTTTAAGCATTGGGATAAGCTAGTGGAAGAGTACAAGAGAACAGAGATGAGGTTGGTTAGTGTGAGTAGGTCATCTGTGTTTGCTAATTGTCACCGAAGGTAGTCTACTGTATCCTTTCTAATGTTTACATTTCAAAAAGATGGCTCCCAGGTCCCTGAGAAAGATATTCCTGGGTTGTAGAAGATTTACCTCTCAAAGAGGCTGAGAAGGAATTTACATTTGCAAGTATTCTAAAGTAAATGTGCTAAGAAAAGAGGAGTCAGGCCTATAATGAGGAAGAAATTTGTCTAAATTTTAATCAAGCTAAGGAGAATGTTTAGACCATTTTTGTTGGTCTCCTCTTTTGTTAGAGGGAAACTAGGTTTTCTTTTAAACAACTTAGGAGAGCTAGTTCATGTAGTGCATTTCAGAAGCTATCTGTTGTTGAAGGACTAGTTGAACCGAATTTGAGACTTGGTAGTAGAAGATATTTGCTGAATGGTGTGAGCAATCAGGAATTTAATGAAGGAGATTTTTTTGGAGGTAAGAAGAAAAAAATATATTAATGGCTGGAGCAGAATATAAATCCAAGTTTCTGAGTGCAGAGGGTAGCCAATTAAGAAGATTCCTAGAGGTTAGATTACAAACATTTTTAAATGGTGGAGTGAGTATGGCAGTGGCCATTTGATGACAGTTGGAATGTTTTCAGTGACGGCACAGACATCAGAGAGATTTGGGGAAGATTGTCCACAGTCATGGCTATTTTCTGGACCAGAGCATGAAAGACATGGTAATCAAGGTGAACTTCCTGAGTGTCGCACACAGCAGCA